TTAATAACATATTTCATGAATTTTAATCATATATATATATATATATATATATATATATTTAATAAAAATTTGATTTTAGTGACCAAACAAGTTTTTATGGATTCTCCTATGTTGTACTCTAATACACAACAACAAATTGAGCCACAATCTCTCTACGCCTATATGGGCTGTATATAGATTCGGCTAAAAAGCTACAAACCCGGCCCATAATCAATTAGTTCATACGCAATTTGTTTGCCCTTCGCTCCCTGCTTAACAGAAGCTTGATAATAATGACGGAGGAGCAACGGCGGAGCCGGAAACGGAAAAGGGGGAGACGTCACAAGCAAAAGAAGACCGTCTCCTCCCCAGACGGTGTTACCACAACCACAACTAAGAGTCTACATACCTCCGCCTCTGATTCTGCCGCTTCTAATAAAAGTAACCCCAAATCCTCTTTTCTGGACAAGGTACATATGAGCATATGAAGTGAATTACAAAAATAAATAAGAATTTAAAGTAATATATGTATAACGTTTATCTGTTGGCAGATGAAAGCAAGATTATCGGGAGGTCACTTTCGTATGATTAATGAGAAGCTCTATACTTGCACGTATGATTTATTTCCCTCTTTTCGATTAATGTGTGTGTGTTTGCAATAAGGTATCTGTCATATGTATCAATCAAACTATTTCGTTTACTTTGCTTTTGGGTAATTTCAAGTTATAAATATGTTTGGTGCTTCCTAGAATTGTCAAATACTTAACGGATTTCCCAGTTCAAGTGTGGTTTCATAGTGTAACTTCTCTTACTAAATTAACTAGTTAGCCGAGATGGGTAATTTGTTTTTTTTGCCTTCGAAGGTGGGTGTGCCAGATTCAAATACTTAGGCTCAAGTTGGATTCTATAGGTTCCAACACTAAATGGGTGTCTTCAACTTAGGTTTTTATGAATTTTCCGTTAAAATCTAGATGTCCTTAACTTATATTTTAATAAATTTAATTGAAATTTAGGTGTCATCTACTCATATTTTAATTAGGATCCAATAAAACCTAGGTGTTTCCAGTTGCTAGTGGATTACTATGAATTTCGTTAAATGGAATGATTTGAATAAATTTTAATGGATTTAATAATTCTAGCCTTACCCCT